TCGCCCACCGTCGATGAGCGGAGCCTTGAGGCGTCGCCTGTGGCGCCGGCCCATGGCATCGTCGGCGGTCGACAAGGCGCCAAGCTCGTCGACCAGGATGGGAAGCCGTCGACGACAGGGGAGCACCAGACAGGGGAGCCGGCCGAACAGGAGGCAACGGCAGGGGTACACTCGACAGGGGAGCAGCAGTCGGATCGGCCGACAGGCGAGTTGTCGAAGGCAGCAGCAGACGAACAGCCGGTCGAAGGGTCGAAGCAGCTGGTCGATGACGTTCTCGTCGACGAGAAAGGGGAGCAGTCGGCGGGTGAGGAGTCCACCGACAGCGATGTGATGGAAGTGCCGATCACGAAGCCCGAGCTGCGACGCACAGGTCGACCCCGACGGCCGCCGGAGCGGTTGAGCTTCCACGCCTGCCTACCGCCGGCTGCCTTCACCACGGTGTACGACGAGGTCGACGACGACCTGCTGTACGACGATGCCGAGAAGGGTGAAGACCTGCCGGAGCTCGACCCTGACGTGCATGCCGACCCCGAACACCGCTGGGACATCGCCACGATGACGGTGAAGGAGGCGCTATCGAGCTGGAAGGGCGAGGCGGTGAAGGCCGCCATGGAAGAAGAAATCCGTAGCCTCATCGGTAGTGAGCTAGACGGTACTCTACGGGCTGAAGCAGTCGCCGCTGCTGTGGTCGCCGCCCTCGACCTCAACCTGATGCAGCTCGACATGAAGAACGCTTTCCTGCAGAGCAAGCTCGACAGGGTGCTCTACATGTACCAGCCGGACTACTTCGACGACGGGACCGGCCGGGTGTGTAAGCTGTTGAAAAGCCTCTACGGGCTGAAGCAGTCGCCGCTGCTATGGTACAGGGCTCTCGACGGTGTGCTGCTGGGCGCTGGCTGGAAGAAGAGCCAGGTCGACGAGGCGCTCTACTTCAAGACCGGCGACGACGGTGTGACCTGCTGGGTGTTGGTCTACGTCGACGACCTGCTCGCCGTCAGCAGCAGCACCGCGATGCTGAAGGAGCTGAAGGAGCTGCTGGAGGCCGCCTTCGAGCTGCGTGAGATCTCGCCGGTGGAGAAGTACCTTGGGCTGGAGATCGTGCGCGACAGGCCGGCCAGGAAGTTGTGGCTGCACCAGCAGGGCTACGCCGACAAGCTGCGAAGGCGCTTCGTCGACGAGGAGCAGGGCGGTCGAGTCCCGAAGACGCCGGTCTCGGTCGATGCCTACGCTCAGCTGACGTTCGACGACGAGGAGGCTCAGGAGCGTGAAGAGGAGGAGTACCTTCAGAAGGTCGGCTCGCTACAGTTCGCGGCGACGACGACGAGGCCAGACATTGCGTTCGCCTGCAGCAAGCTGGGGAGCGGCCTCACGGTGAGGAGCGACCAGCATTGGCGTGAGGTCGACCGTTGCCTCGCCTTCCTCGCCGACACCCGCGACACCGCCCTGGAGTTCGGCGGTGGACCAGAATCGTTGGAGCTGATCGGCTACGTCGATGCCGACGACGCGGGCGACAAGCAGAACCGGACGAGCACGGGAGGCTACGTGGTCGTCTACGGAGGGGCCGCCGTCTCCTGGTCGAGCACGCGCATCAAGTGCGCGACATTATCATCGATCGAGTCGGAGTACGTGGCGGCCACGGATGCTGGCAAGGAGGGGCGTCGACTTTGCTTCCTCCTTGGGGCTGACGGGCAACCTCAAGCACATGGAGCGACGCTACGCGTGGCTGCAGCACATGGTGCGGCACGGGAAATTTGTGCTGAACTACATCCCGACCACCGAGCAGCCGGCGGATTTCCTTACGAAGGCGCTGCATTTTCCGGCTTTCAACCGGTGCTCTGTCGCCATCGGACAAGTTCGTCTGGTCGACGTCGGCGACGGCGACAACGAGGTGCAGCAGTAGGTGCCGTGCCCTTCTGCATGGCTGGTGCGGTGACGGCGTGCTGTGTGTGGGATGCACGCCGAGGACGAGTTCTCCCCGTGGAGTACTGCCGTGAGGGCTGGAGGCCCAAGCGTGAGCGCGGCAGGGGAGTGTTAACGGGAAAGGAGTGTTGGCCCCGCCCTCGCTTGGGCAACGCCGACAACTTGGTCGGATGTACGGGAGTAGCAGCCGACCGCCCACAGTGGGATAGCTGCTCGACAGGTTACGTCGAGCTGCAGCGGACCACTGTGGTGTTGCTGTCGACCAGGATGCTCGACAGCTGCACCTGATTGGCCTGGGCGACGGGTGAGCCGTCCGGGAGGTCGACGAAGTAGTCCGTCGACCTACAGTTCGACGGGGAGGTCTATGGAGCATTCCGTCGAACTGCAGCTCGACCGGGAGGTCGACAGAGTAGTTCTGGTCCACGGAAGGGGTCCGTCGACCAAGGGGTAGCTTGACGGGAGGTGTGGTCGACCAGGAGCGCCTGGTGGTCGACCAGAGGGACCTAGTGGTCGACGGGAGGCACCTGGGAGTCGACCAGAGCACCAGGGGTCGACCAGGTCGACCGGGTAACCTGCTCGACGAGTTCTGCGGAGGCACGCGAACGTCGTCGAGATCGCGATGGCGCAGGCGACTTCGGGCTGGTATCCCGAAGTCGATGTGGCTCGTCAGGCGCAGACAAACAGCCGACGGATGCCCAACGAGGCAAGTCGGGCCTATCGTCTGCGCACACCTGTGAGCGCGCGCACTGCTGTGTTCTACGGGGCACGCCGTTGACTTGCTTTGTTGGCAGGTCGCCCTTCTGCAATGCTGGCGCGGCTCCTCTACGCAGTGCTGGCAGGCGGTCGACCGAGCTGCGTTGGCGGTCGACCAGGCTAGCTGCAGGGTTGCTAGGTGTCTGATGTAGTCATTGTTGTGATTGCTGCTTGTACCATTCTGGAATCCCAACTTTGCTAGTGGAAACTCTTGCCAAATTCTTCCGTGAATGTGCAAGCTCTAAGGAACCAAGCAAAGCTAAGATCACCTCTAGTAGTTCGCGCCAACCCCTGTAGTCTAGCTCACTACCGTTGTAGAGTTTATCTCCTCACCCTCGTCGCGGGGATCGTTTTCCTGGCCGCCAGCGTCAGCAGGGCCCATCTCGCTTGCAATCGCCTATGCGCTCGAGCGCAAGTGGGCGTGCGCGTCGTGGGCAACGGGGGGGTGACAGTCGCGGCGGAAAAGCGCGTCCAGCGCCGTCCGCAATGGAGCGCCGTCTTCTGGATAGGCTTGATGACGTGGAGAAGGAGCTTCGTCGCTCGCGTGCGGGGTCAGCGTCACCATCAGCTCCTCGCGCTGCTCCCGTCGTCCCTCTCTCCGCGCTCCTGCCCCACAATCCCTTTGGATCCCCGGCGCGTTCAGAGCGGCCGCTGCCTGCGGGGATGGGCTTCGTAGGTGCTGGTGGCGGGCCGCCGTGGGCTCAGTGTGCTCCGCTGCGTCCTCTTCCTGCTCCGCGTGATCTCGCCTTGTCGTCTCACCGTGCCCGCGCGTCTGCGTTACTTCCGCCGATGAAGGAAGTTCCCACGGCGACCCTGGCCCGCCTATGGTCGCTGGCGGCGTCCCTGCAGAGCCTTGAGCGGATTCTCGAGGAGTCATTTGACTCCATGCCGGTGAGCCCTCCGAGCAGGTTCTCTCAGAAACCGCGAGCAGATTGTCATGCGGCGGCGTCAGCGCTATTCGCGCTCGTAACGCCACTGCAGGTAGCGCCCTCGCCGGGAGCAACCTCGGCCAGCCAGCTGGCTGACTCGGCCCTGGCTCTGAGGACGCTTGTAGCAGGCCCTGGTACTCCTGTTTACGTTGTAGGCGCCACCGTGTCTGTGGTCCGCCAGTTGTGGTTGAACACGAGCAGAATGCTCGCTGCGGTAGAGGCGGACCGCATGTAGGCGCTCCCCCCTTGCGCGTATAGACCCGTTCCATCCTCTACTTGCTAAGTGTCTATGCTTGCTTTGTTTGTATCGGTTGCCTAAGCTACTACTGCTTGTTGTTTCCCCTTGCCATCCCTAACGCGCGGCCGAAGGCTTGAACGAATGGTTCTCCTGAAGTCTCTCCTCTCTCGGCCTGATGCTCGACTCCTCGAGTATTAAGGCATGGCTCGTAGCGCAACAAGGTGTGAGGCCCTTTCAGAAGTGAGAGGAGCAGTACCCGTGGAACTACGGGCAAGAGGGGTAAGAGGCCATGGTTATGGAGCCATGGTTAAGAGGGGTAAGAGGCCATGGTTATGGAGCCATGGGCAAGAGGGGTAAGAGGCCATGGTTATGGAGCCATGGGCAAGAGGGGTAAGAGGCCATGGTTATGGAGCCATGGGCAAGAGGGGTAAGAGGCCATGGCCATGGGTTGATGCCATGCAGGGGGATAAGAGGCAACTTCTTCAATTCTAATAGCTTCTACCGTACTCTTTGGTTGGTTGACCGTTGTGTGAAGTGCATCGGCTTGGTTTCCAAATTTCCAGCAGTGCCACTACCTTTGAGGCACCTCAAAGTCAGTGTAATTGAGGCACCTCAAAGTCAGTGTATTTGAGGCACCTCAAAGTCAGAGTATTTGAGGCACCTCAAAGTCAGTGTATTTGAGGCACCTCAAAGTCAGTGTATTTGAGGCACCTCAAAGTCAGTGTATTTAACAGCTTGGTTTCCCAGCACGACTGTTTTGAGGCGCCTCAAAAGCTGGTTTCCCAGCACGACTGCCCTTTGCTGCCAGAAACAGCTCCCTTTCTCCCTTCCATCCTGCCGCCACTCATCCCCCCTTCCGTCACGTCTCCCTCACTCCAACCTCGCCTTCCTTTCATCCATCCCACCTCTCTCGTGCCCCCACCTCTCTCGTGCCCCCACCTCTCTCGTGCCCCCACCTCTCTCGTGCCCCCACTCCGTCCGTGCACCCCCAGGTGTGCTTCACAGCGATTTTTGAGGCGCCTAAAAGCCTAAAAGCCTAAAAGCCTAAAAGCCTAAAAGCCTAAAAGCCTAAAAGCCTAAAAGCCTAAAAGCCTAAAAGCCTAAAAGCCTAAAAGCCTAAAAGCTCCTCTCGTGCCCCCAATCCATCCGTGTGTCCCCAGGTGTGCCTCACAGCGCCCTTCCCCGGCCCCTACCGGCTGTCGCTGCATCTGCTCTTCTCCAACGCGTGCCAGACGCGCACTGCTCTCAGCAAGGCCTACAACCAGGGCTTCCAAAAGTGGGTCTTTTGTGCTGAGGTGTGGGGGGGCATGCAGTGGCTGCATTGCAGTGGCACTGAATAACGCCTGCCAGCTTGCTGGGTCTCTGTGTGCGCGTGCGTGTTTGTGTGCTTGCTTGTATGCATGTCTGCATGTGAGCATGTTTGAGCATGTGTGCATGTATGAATCTCTCCATGTGTGCATGTGTCTATGTATGCATGTGTGCATGCTTCCTCTGTGATGTCTCTCCTAATACTACCTTCGGCTGCATGCATGTGGGCATGTACTCGCAAACACACACACACACACACACACACACACACGCACAGACACGTACACACACACACACACACACACGCACAGACACGTACACACACACACACACACACACACACACACACACACACACACACACACACGTTCTCCCACCGTGCACGCACACTCCTACCCATACGTTTTCCTAGCTCCCAGGATTTCCCATCAATGTCCCGTGAATTAACCAGAAACCCTCTCACCCCGTCATCTTTCCCCACCCACGCACTGCCTGCCATCACACCACTGCTTGCCCGTGCATGCACCACCCGCCGTCACTCCGTGCATGCACCACCCGCCGTCACTCCGTGCATGCACCACCCGCCGTCACTCCGTGCATGCACCACCCGCCGTCACTCCGTGCATGCACCACCCGCCGTCACTCCGTGCATGCACCAACCGCCGTCACTCCGTGCATGCACCAACCGCCGTCACTCCGTGCATGCACCAACCGCCGTCACTCCGTGCATGCACCAACCGCCGTCACTCCATGCATGCACCAACCGCCGTCACTCCGTGCATGCACCACCCGCCGTCACTCCGTGCACGCACCACCCACTGCCACTCTGTGCAGCTATCACCTGGTGGCCCTCCGCAAGCTGCAAGTCACCAGCCCCCAGCCGTACTTCCCAGACGCGCTCAGGTAAGCATGCTGGCTCGTCTCCTCAGTGAGGTTGTAATCAGTTGAGCCGCGACAAGAAGCAGGAGTATGGGTTGCAAGTCTCCAGCCCCCAGCCGTACTTCCCAGACGCGCTTAGGTAAGCGTGGTGGCGCATCAGTGAGGTCTTGATTAGGCGGCAAGAAGCAGGAGTATGAGACCGGGAGACCGGGAGGAGAAGGAAGAGTGAGGGGGGCTGCAGGTTGGGTTTGTAGAA